CTGGCAGATACTCTCAGACTTTGCTATGTAACTGCTGAAAGTGTCTGTTAATCTATGCTTAGTCTGATCAACGAATTTAGCATTTCAATCCTATGACTGTCATCGCTTTTATAATTGTCACACTCACAGTGGTAAGGTTTTATTTAAAGGAACAAGTGGACCCAAAGGAACTAGAGATACTTTCTTTCTATATTTATACTAATATAAATATAGAAAGAAAGTATCTCTAGTTCCTTGTGGACTTAAGGCGATGCAGTGGTTAGTACTGCCATTTCACAGCAAGAAGGTCCTGGATTTGAATCCAGCCTCGAGCCTTTCTGTGAGGAGTTTGCATGTTCTCCCCGTGTCTGGGTTGTCTCCAGGTATTCTGGCTTTGTCCTACAATCCAAAGTAATGCATGGGGTTATCTAAACCAGCTAAAGGTATTAATGTGGATTTAAATATTTGTCTGTCTCTATGTGTTAGCCTTGTGACAGACTGGGATAGTGATCATTGGGTTACAAAAAAAATCAGATAAAAAATCCCTGCAGTCAGTCACCAGCCAGTGGTTTTTTGTGGTCCCTCACAGTTGTTGACATATTTTTTTCCCTTCTGTGACTGGGACCTAAATGGGAGGCTTATTTGAGACAATCTATCAGGTTTTCTGTTGCATCATTTAAGGCTTTCTTAAAGGCTTTATACAGATTTTCCTTTTTTACATATGCAATACGCTTTTGCTGCTGAGAATACAAATAAACAGACTTCAGTATGAATGAAGTGCAGCTGAACAAATACATAATGTAGTTCAATCATACTATTTTTTCTTATAATTATATTTGATTTCTTTAATATGACATGGATGAGGCAGAGTGATAAAATAGATATTGGTGTTGCATTTATCTGGTGTGATTCCTTGGTTTTGAAGATAGAAGCAGCATTCAAAAACTGTGGGTGTATAATGGATGCAAGTGGGTGACAATGATAATTAATCTTTTGGTCTACACTGACATGATGGCATGGCACAGCTGCTGTAGATTCATGATGTGTTTGAACTTCACCAGGTTATGTCGACCATGTGTGCATGAAAGAATGGTGAATGAACTGGTACTTTTACAACACATTTTAAGTCAGGTAAGCAATCAAAGCACATTCTACTACAAGTTTAATTCACCCAGTTACTCATATATTCATACAGAACTTTGTGACTTTTATGTCTTTGAAAAGCACTATATAAATAAACCTTACTTACTTGAGCCACAGCTGACCCATACATTGATGCATCCAGTGGCTGGTTGGATATTTGCATCATCAAGCAGTACTTAATATAGAGGCCGGTAAGTGTATATCACTTTTTCAAAATTTAAGTTCTTTTTGCTTCTGAGACCAATAAAAACGTTTTAGCTGACAAGGTCAGCAGATGACTAATGCATTCATTACAACTCAATGTTACCCAGATGAATTCTGGGGTATAATGCTTGTTTAATGCTTAATAAAATCTGTTGGCCACATACAGAGAAACCCCCCGGCCTGAGCAATGTGTGCATTCTTTTGAAGTCGAGGGTCTAATGATAGAAAGATAAAACTTGCATCAGGAAGTAATGGCAATAATGGCATATAAGGACAATGACTAAAGAATTTTGATTGTGCTTTACAATGACAGCAACCCAGCAAACTTACAGTAATCCTCCTGAGGATTATGATAATGTTGACACTATTACCCATGAGTTCAATAAAGTCCAAAAAGTGGATTGAAGAGCAGATAAAAAACAAGGTTGAGTGGTAGGTGTTACAAGAAAAGGTGCTTTAACTGAAAACGTACCTAACAAATCTTTAATCTAAAACAGGGAGCTAGAAATGACCTGATAAAGACAGAGGGAGAAGAAAAGGCTAAATACAGATTAACACAAAGTCAGTGATAGAGAGAATGAGAACCCCAACTAAAACCAATCCAGTTCTTCATCTGTTTCTTACTATATGGAATAAATTGTACTTATTGGTGGCTGAATGGCACCACAAGCTCTGGAGGCAATGAACACAGCCCAAGCAGAGCCCAACTGAAACATTTCAGAGCAAAACCAAAACTGTCTGGCCACCCAGTGCTGGGAAGCAGCTGAAGTCAGCTGTCTCTCCAGACTGCCTGCTGGGAAAATACAGTTTTACTCCTGGAAACAGATGAGAATCAAAGTTGGCATAGATGACAAATGATAATTTGGAAATGAGAGGGAGCGTGCAGATTGACAGATTTAAAAATGGGAGAGGAGAAGGAAGAGAGGCTAGATAGAGGGGAAGCAAAAGAGAAAATAGGGTTATGCTAATTTGAATGGATGGGGAGATTAAATAGAGGCATATCAGGTCATGTGCCTTCTAGAGACAGGGCCCTAATCCCCTTCTCCTGCTTCTTGCAGCTCTACTTCGCAAACATACAGTACAAATGAACACACTCGCACATATTCACATACACAAGATGACGTAAAAAGACTGGTGCACTGTGGAGAGCATTTTAGATGACAGTCGGGAAAATGGAGTAAGACATCTGGAACTGCAAGGAAAAGAAGAAAGAGTGAAGAAACAACATGTGTAAAATATTTTATTTTACTTTTTTCTTCTGTTACCAATGCACGCTGTTGGTCCTTCTGGAATATTTACTTTGAGCAAACTTCACATGTGATAAGGATTTGTTTTATTTTTTATTTTTTGCAAAGTCAAGGCTTGTAATCAAACACATATTTACCTTTAAACCTGAATTAGACATCAAAAATACACCCTGAGAGACAGAGAATCAGCAAGCATATGGAAGACAGAGTATCATAAGTAGAGTGAAAAAGTACTTCCTTAAGCAAATATTAAAAGATGATGCTTTAAAATAGATATCAGCAAGAATCCTGTCATGACATGACAGCAAAGGACATCAACTTTGTCTAATAATAATTATTTGGCAACCAAGTGTTTTCAGTGGCTAATAAATGTAGTAAAAATATCCATACAAATGTGGACATTCAGTTGTACATACTTATTTGATGCTCAGCTGATGATATTTGCAAAGCAAGAAATAGATAAAAAGCACAGATGAGTTCTGTGTCATGTAAAAGGGCAAAAAAATCTTAATCATCAGGAAATGATTACATATACCTATGCAGTATCAAAATGTATGCACGAAGGTCATAACCTCACTCTGTTCATTTCTAGAGCTGATACTAGCTCACACACACAGTTACGCAGAGGAGCCCTTGAGAGTCCTTATCAGCTTTTTCATGCATTTAAGATAAGATAATATGGTCTTCAATTTACATAATTTCCTGCTCCAAAATAACACAACATTGCAGCAGAAACTGACAAAGGCAGGCTCTGTCAGTGTGCTGTTAAACTGCTCAAGGCCAGCTATGATTATTTCAGACAACTGCCACTAAAAAAACTGGGACATGGTGTACAAACATCATCTTCCTAAGATAGAATATTTTGGTGAAGATAGATAAATAGGTAGAAAATATTGTATAAAAACATTTCATTGTGTATATTTTTAAATGTGCACATAAATAAAACTAGACAGGGCAGCATCACAGCGTGATATGTTTCCCTATGCTCATTGTCAAAGTGTTTAGTTTTCAGTACAGTATCTAAATATTAATGAGTCATTAGCAGTCGGTGCCACTGCTTTGTTCTGAGTCCTTTCTATAATTAGCTTGTTTTTATGGAATACATTACACGCTGTATACAGGTTGTTGCAACAAACACAAACGACCTTGCATGATAAGAGAAGTTCTATTATTGGAATGAAAAGAACTTGTCAACTATAAAACCAGACAGTTTCACATGTAAGGCTGATAATAAGTGACAGACACACACACATAGAGGCAGGCAAGAGAGGGGAGGAGCTGTCCTTGGTGCTGAATCAGCCACCTGTGCTTTGCTGCTGGTGCTCTTTGTGAACTGTCTACGCACATAGTATTGTATTGTTTTAAAATATACTCTTATTTTCTTCTTGTTCATTTCAATTTTTTTAATTAGACTTTAATTTTAAATACATAAGATAAAATCTATAAAATCAAATACTTGCACATATTTATGAGAAATAAGTTGGTATAAGAATAGTATGCAAGTACAAGATAAATCAGTCCTGGGTATGCATCAGATAATTTGCTGATTTGTATCCATACGCATGTGCAGACACCTGCTCACAAAATTTAGAAGTGCAAACCTTTTATAAACACGGTTGCATTTGCCTCCATACCTCCACTATGCTACTTTAGTGTCCCTTTAGCTTTAACCATTGTTCTTGTGGTGTACAAATAAACATTGTATTGCACGAAATTCAGCCTTATTGCCTTTCATTTTTCATCAACCCCTGCATATTGCCCCAGTAGTGAATGCAGTCTTGCTTTCAGGAAACTGAATGAGATCATATTGTACGCAACCGTTTTCAGTGGGGGAAGAAGTTTCATTTCACTAATGAAGTAATAATATTACATTTGCAGGCTTGCTACCAATATCCTGTGCATCAGGAGAAGTGTATTAGCATCGCACCGCACTTAAACATCAACAACATAATCATGCTATTTTTATATGCGATATATTGGAATTTTCTACCACGTGCAATATTGTGGAGATAATCTACTGTTTGCTGGAGCAAATTTAAACAAGTCAAAGTTGACAAAGTTTAATTCCAAATAATAAAACCACTTTTTATAAACACAGTTAGCTAAGAAATCTTTCACTGAAGGAAAATAAGCTGTCGAAACACATCATTACAATGTTGAGCGACCATTCGAGACATTTACACTATTTTATTGGCCCTTACTCTCCATTGTAGGCAAAAGCGTAACAACAACACAGACGCTGAATATCTAAATACGATGCTTATAAGGAGAATTCAACAGCTTTCACCTGAATCTGGTACTGCCCCTTCATCGTCATCATTTTCCAGCCTATAGAATTCAGCTCCTCTGCTGCTTTTGGCGTAGTTTCGTTGGTCTCGACCAATCAGGACGAGCGGAGCACTTGTGACGGTGAAATCAAAGTTGTTGTAGGAGCGCGTGTGCGAGTGAGCGAGCGGAGAAAAACTGGCCGGTGTGAGAGAGAGGAGAGAGGCGGCGGAGGGAAGTGGACGAACCGGCTGGCTGCAGCTGTTGGATATTTTTCCCACCGTGTCTTCAGAGCGAAAAAAAGGACAGAGAGAGCTTTAAAGCGTATTCCTAGATGGCTGCTGTCCACAAGTTAGCAGTCAGAATCGGTCCAGGGTCGCTGCACGAGAGACCGTAGGGATGCTTGCACCTCTGCATGCGTAGTTTCCAGATTCCTCTGTCGCTGTGGACTTGCCAGTTTGGTTGAGTTTTCCTGAGGAAGGAAGATTTTTTTTAAACAGAAAATGACAGAAATAAGCGAAAAGGAGAACGAACCTCAAAACCGGGACCTTCACCGACCACAGGCTACTGTGCCTAGTCAACAAGAATCAAAGGTAACGGAACACACCTGTGTAAAAACTGCAGGATTTTTTTTTAAAGCAATAATCTGTTACTGATAGAGGAATGTTTTTATATCATTTTCTTTACTGTTTTATTTAGCGGTCTTTCAGTTTAAAAGAAATAATTTTTAATATGTAAATTGGGACTAAGTGCGAGTATTTACTTTCCCACGAGGCTAATTCTGTGGCGGCTTGCATAACAACCCTAACCCGCTTTAATTCAGGTAATTAGCTTGGCCTCAGAGTTGGAGAGCAGAGATTACACAGAGGGGTGTAAGCGTTGTCTGGTATGTGTGCACAAAATATCAAAAGCTGCAAGTAAACAAAGAAGAAAGGTCCTTATTGCTTGTTTAGCTTAGGTCAGAGAAGGATCATTTGTGTACATGCTGTAAATATTAGAAGTACAGTGTCCCAGAAGAGGAGTCCTCCCTGCTGCCAAACATGGAATCCAGTCGCCCTTTTATAACACCTCGTGTCTAGTTAAATGGATGTGCCAACACTTCTTCTGTGCTTTATCTGCTAATGTTGGCTGTTATTTGATTAAGTACATTAATTTAGGCATATGAGACTAGACGTACAGTGCATTAGTTATCACTAATGTACACATGGAGGCTGGGAAGAGAGACTGCAGCAGCCAGCTTTAATAGTCTGCAAATAGAATTAAACAAGTCTCCCCTTGAAGTAGGTTTAATTTTGTTCCACTCATTTGTGCTCCAGTTCTCTCACTTAAATCTATGCCCTGAGAATACCTGAACAAGGTTTGGATGCTAATGCTTGTTTTCAGGGACCCTGCTTGTTTTGAGGTTAAATTGATGAGTCCAATATCCTTGGCTAAATTCAGAACCATTGTCATTGTCATTACTACTGCTCCTGCGATTAGCCTTATTTTAATCTTGTAATATGAGTTCATTGTAGTTCTTTCTGATGTAGTGTTTTGGTTTTCAGCCTTGTATACTGCCATCTTGGCTAAACTTCCAACCTCAGTAGGATTTTCCCAAATAAGTGGGGGGAAAAAGTGAAAATAGAAAATTTAAGGTCAGCTTTTTATGGCAAATGGCCTTTTGGATGCAACCCTGAAGGCTTCTGTGTCCTCCAGGATAATAATAATAATGTTAATATTAATATTAATAATAATAATGGTAATAATAATAATAGTAGTAGTAACTAAGAACAACTAAAAATTTTTTTAAAAAGGACATGGAAAACCCTCTTTAAAATAGGACCAAATTATCTGGAAAACAGAGTGGTGCTCACATCAAGGCATCGAAAGCATGGAGGAGACAAACATCTGATGACATGAAGACTCTAGTGACACTTAAAGTACAGGGTGGGCCATTTATATGGATACACCGTAATAAAATGGGAATGGTTGGTGATATTAAAGTCCTGTTTGTGGCACATTAGTATATGTGAGGGGGGCAAACTCCTCAAGATGGGTGGTGACCATGGTGGCCATTTAGAAGTCGGCCATCTTGGATACAACTTTTGTTTTTTCAATAGGAAGAGGGCCATGTGACACATCAAACTTATTGGTAATGTCACAAGAAAAACAATGGTGTGCTTGGTTTCAACGTAACTTTATTCTTTCATGAGTTATTTACAAGTTTCTGACCACTTATAAAATGTGTTCAATGTGCTGCCCATTGTGTTGGATTGTCAATGCAACCCTCTTCTCCCACTCTTCACACACTGATAGCAACACCGCAGGAGAAATGCCAGCACAGGCATCCAGTATCCATAGTTTCAGGTGCTGCACATCTCGTATCTTCACACCATAGACAATTGCCTTCAGATGACCCCAAAGATAAAAGTCTAAGGGGGTCAGATCGGGAGACCTTGGGGGCCATTCAACTGGCCCACGACGACCAATCCACTTTCCAGGAAACTGTTCATCTAGGAATGCTCGGACCTGGCACCCATAATGTGGTGGTGCACCATCTTCTGGAAAAACTCAGGGAACGTGCCAGCTTCAGTGCATAAAGAGGGAAACACATCATCATGTAGCAATTTCAAATATCCAGTGGCCTTGAAGTTTCCATTGATGAAGAATGGACCCACTATCGTTGTACCCCATATACCACACCAAACCATCACTTTTGTTGTTCCAACAGTCTTGGAGGGATCCATCCAATGTGGGTTAGTGTCAGACCAATAGCGGTGGTTTTGTTTGTTAACTTCACCATTCACATAAAAGTTTGCCTCATCACTGAACAAAATCTTCTGCGTGAACTGAGGGTCCTGTTCCAATTTTTGTTTTGCCCATTCTGCAAATTCTGTGCGCCGATCTGGGTCATCCTCGTTGAGATGCTGCAGTAGCTGGAGTTTGTAAGGGTGCCATTTGTGAGTAGCTAATATCTGCCGAAGGGATGTTCGACTAATGCCACTCTCCAGTGACATGCAGCGAGTGCTACGCTGTGGGCTCTTGCTGAATGAAGCTAGGACAGCCACTGATGTTTCTTCATTAGTGACAGTTTTCTTGCGTCCACATTTTGGCAAATCCAACACTGAACCAGTTTCACGAAACTTAGCGAGCAGTTTGCTAACTGTAGCATGGGAGATGGGTGGTCTCGTAGGGTGTCTTGCATTGAAATCTGCTGCAATGACCCGGTTACTGCACCAGATATCAACACAATTTCAATCCGCTCCTCACGTGTTAACCTCTTCGACATGTCAATGGCTGTGAACAAAGAGAAACTTGTAAATAACTGATGAAAGAATAAAGTTACATTGAAACCAAGCACATCATTGTTTTTCTTGTGACATTACCAATAGGTTTGATGTGTCACATGGCCCTCTTCCCATCTGTCATTTTCCATTTTTCACTAACTAGACTTCAACCAAATTTGCTCTGACTAGTATTTCTTAAACTTGTGCCCTGGAGTGCTAATGTATACTTTCCTACATTTAAATCTAGTTTATGGTCTCTGCACTGGTAATGTCACACCAAACGTGACATTACTACAGCACCGTATCCATATATGCTGGTGCTTGAGGCACTGGACTTGCTGCAGTCTTAAAATGAAGGTGTTACCATTCAGAAGAAAGCTCTGTACCAGCTCTGGTGCAGGAGTAAAAGTTGGGAGGCAAGTTTTCCCTAGAAAGTCTTTTTAAGCTGTATACAGGGTAACAACAGCAAGCATAAACTAGGTGTCATGCTTCTGCCTGCCTTGCTCTGCAGTTTTGTCACCAAAGTTGTGTCGTTGTGAGGTGTAGTTACATTTTTTGTCATGTAAGGTGAAGTGGAGGGTTTCAGAAGAGTTTGTTGTGTTTGCTTGTGTTGTACCTCTGGTTTAGATTTAACAGAGGGTTGTTGCCTGCTTTGTAACTCCGAAGTTTTATTTTATTTTTAAATGGATTTGCCAATCTGTTTTTCTCCGAATTGAATCAGAGTAAATTTCCAGTGACTAAACCAGCTTAAATCCCTCACCAACATGGATCTAAATCTCCAACAACAGCTTTAATTGCAGCAAATATCACAATAACAAATCACATTATACTCGTCTTTTGCTGGTCATCACCACAGGGACCTGAAACAGGCCTGGCAGGAAGGGCTCTTTGTTGTTGTTACTTGACTACAGACGGCACAATGGATGGTGGGCAGTGAGGTGCGGCATGAATTTATGAGACAATCAGCTAGCATATGTTTGCTGTGTCCTGCTAGTGGCTGGGTCATAATTCATGCGAATGCTTGTCCAGACAAAACAGAAATGGGAGGAAACAATCCTCTGAGCTACGTCAGCCATGTCGCCCCGTTGTTTGCAAAACCAGCTGCTGGCACCGTGACCTATTCCCATCTCACAGAAGAATAAGGAAGAGGAAAGGGGAGGGGAAAGATTAAATATGTGTTACAACTGGGGTCTCTTTAAGAGTAATCTACTTGAGAGTATCTGTAGAGATTTACTTGCTTTTTTTTCTTCTGTCACTCTGAATATTTTTACTTAAATCTTTTAATTTCATAACAGTTTCTTCCTTCTGCTCTCGCCCAGTTTCCCCCGTTCTGACTTCTAACAACCAATCTTTGTATTCTTTCTCATCTCTTTAGCAGCTCTCCCTTATGTCTCACTCATTTTCCCCTCTCTCGCTCTCTCTCTCCTCACTGTCCCTCAGCTCTCAGAGTATTTATTGCATTGCTAAGTGGGCCCACTGGCTTTCTTGAGTGCTTCTAATAGAGCTAGTGACAGAGAATGAGTAGTTATTCCACCTCCTCCACCTACGGGCAAGGTGATTGCTCCAAAAATATTATTATTCCTCTCTACTCACTTGGAGCACATGTTGTACAAGTTTATTCAGTATTGAATTTGCTTTTGCTTTTGGCTTGTTGTGTCATGTAAATGCACTTTACATTAAGCTTAGTTTAAAATTAAGACCAAAAACAGGGAACTCGACATCCTGGCGCTGTCCAGAAGCAGCAAAATCAATCCTTCTAGCACCTCTATGAAGACCAACAACTCAACAATTATGGCACACAACAGTCTCATCGCGGCACGAGTTGTTAAAAACTGTAGTTTATCATGTCTGTACGGTTGCACGTAGTTACAAGGCTCCAGGCTGTTTTGCCAACCTCTGTATAAAAGACACCTTTAAGGTTTTCCACTACTGTTTTTTAGCATCACAGATTCTGGAAGCAGCTGAATTTAGCAACCAATTTAGTAACCTTTTAACAAAAGTACGCAAGCAATTTGCTCCATATTTAGTTATTGTGCTCATTCTATAGCACATTTGATCATGCACACACAGGTATGGAGAGGTCCAAAAGTTGAAGTCCATCCCAGCTAGTTGTCATCTCAAACATAATACTCCCGAGGAACTAAAGACCCAGTCGATTACTTTACATTTGGATGTTAATGTCTTCCCAATAACAGGAAAATCCTTAATGTTAGCATATAGCTCATAATCTAAAATTCTAATCTGATTATTATCTGATATTCCCATGTAGTATCATTATGTAGTGTTGGCTTTGGCCCATCAGCTGACCCGTCCATTCATCCATCCAT